TTAGATTTGCTTGGTTGTTCACCTGCCGACCTCATCCTCTTCTTCCTAGGTCTCCCAGGTTGTTTGTGATAAAGTGGTGGCAACAAAGGAGGCCTATGACACTTAGGCCACAAGTCTTCACTTGTCATTGGATGAACCATTGGACTATAAGCTCTCATAAAGGCCTCCTTCTTGTAACAAGCATCAACATAAGCAATATGATCCCCATTTAATTGGCCAATTACAGCACAAGCATGCTTGCATGGGATCCTAATAATATCTCACAACCTGACTTTTATCATGGTTTTTGACCTCATATAAACTCTCCCCAGCAAGCTCTGGAATGCACCAAGCTGATTCTTTCTTCATTTTCTCCAAAATTCCAAAAATCCTTGGACCAATGGCATGTTTTCATTTCTCACAAGATACTCTTCTAGTTGCCATCAACAACATAATATAGTATCTAATTCTCTCTAGCATGGTTAAAATAGGTTTTTCTCGTACTTCTACAAGGGCATCGTTAAAAGCCTCACACATATTATTCAAAAGGATGTCACACTTGGAATGAGTTTTAAAGTGAGCTCTACACTATTGTGATTGATCTAAGGCCGCCATACAATCAAATGCAGCTTGGCTCAACTATCCCATATTTTTCATCTCAGCATCGCACCATGGAATGGTTGTGCTCCTTGCGATTTTCTCCATTTGCAATTTCAACACCAATCCTCTGTGACTAGCAAGCAAAAATTTGCTTCTAAGTTTTTGAGGCAGTGTCTGTGCTCAGCGTTTGGAAAATGATCATGTACTACATCAATCAAGCCTTTTTGCTTGTCTGTGATAAAGACATATCCGCTGCTGTTTTCGATTCCAAGGTCCTCTGCCAATAGTTGACAAAACCATGACCATGTTTCATAATTCTCCACCTCATCCACTACATACACAATAGGATACATGTCATTGTTAGGATCCACACCAACAGCATATAACAACTGTCTAGGGTGATGATCATTAATATGACAAGCATCAAATCCTATAACTGCCTACATCCCTACAAAAACCCTTGTTTAACTGCAGCCAAGAACTTGTAAATCCTCTGAAACCTTGGCCTTTCACCCTCCAACTCACATTTGATAATGACTGTGCTACCCACATTTGTCCTTCTTAGTTTAGCAGCATAATCCCATAATAATTCATACTGTTTTTCAAAAGTCCCCTCAGATATAGATGTTGCCTTCTGTCTTGCCCTATATATTTGGGATTTAGAAGCTATCACAGACAAATCTTCTTGTACCTGCTGCTTCAAAGTTTCCATATCCCAATTATGCTTTCTAGCCAGTTGAGTAGCATATCTCTAAGCTAACCATGTTGAGTTAGCATGAAAGTTGTGATCAACTGTCCCACAATCATGCTCATCAACCAATTTTTTCACTTGAACCCATTCATTCCCATTCATTGCTGAAGCAAAACAAACTCATTTACAATTTCCTGCACACACTGCCCTCACCCTATCACGATCATTGCGTTTGAATTTAATCATCCTTCTGTTCACAATTGAATAGTTCCTAATTGTTTTCCTAAATAGGTCAGTGGTTGCAAACCTTAAACCCAGCTCAAACACATGGTTGCACATGTCTGTTTCAGGCCTAAATTCTTGAAATTTAGGCGATTTCTTCTTCATTTTTCTTCTGGTTCCCATCATCCTCATCATATGAGCTACTATCCAAGCTCTCAACATCACTTTTAGCTACATCAGTTGACTCCTGATCTTCATCCATAGGGGCATTTGGGTCTTCAACTACTTCTGGCTGGTCTATATAATTTTCAAATGCTTTATCATCTTTCGTCAACAACTCACATTCATTTTCACTCTGCTCATAAGCACTATCAACAAAATGAGGGTCATGTTCCTTGTCTTCTTCTTCACTATCTTCACTGTCTTCCACATTAATGTCACCTATATCAGCCCTACTACCCTCATTATTTAGGGGCCCATCATCATCACTTGAAACCCAGTCTTCAACTTTGCAAGTAGGCCCATGATCCTCAGTAAAAGGCCAGCCTTCTTTACTATTGTTCAATGCCCACTACCTTCAGTAGAAGCCTTATTTTCATCACTAACAGGCCCAATATTCTCACTATCCTTATTCAATGCCACAACTACCTCTTCACAATCCTCATTCACTACAACACCTTCCTCTTCAATGTGTTGTACATAAATCAGCACCACTCTCTTATAAAAAAAAGTGGTACCTTATCACACAAACTTAACAGCTCAGCATCCCTGTCTATATCCAGTAACTCGTCATTTACTACTCTTTTAAGAGATACTTTCCCCATGTGCCCAAGCAATTTCACTTGCTCCCACATCTCTAACATATTTATATACTCTACAGTACACCAATCCAAATATCCTACAAACCCACCAATATAACACCACTTATTCTGTTCGTTTTTCACAATTCTGCCACCATGATGCACTTCAAAAGTGACCAATTCTATGTCCTCTACACAGAAACAAAAAGGGTTTGTTTTTAACAAAAGCAAAATAGTATTCTAAGCCACTTATTAAAAGCAAAACAACAACCATGATTCGATTAACATATTCAAACCCAACTAGAAGAAAACAAAAACAGAACCACATCAGGAAAGGTATACTACTTTAGAACCCCCTCTGCCGACAACACATAACACAAAAAGACCTAAACCCTATCAATTTCTATACAATGCGCATCACTATCATGTTAAGATTCTTTTTCACGTCAAAAGACAAGATTCCTTTTTAGAAAACAGGTCACTTTTTAGAAGAATCACTTACCGTACACAGGTTGCCATGCTCCTGCTTCTCGCCAAACGTGCAAGCCCTTTTGTTTCTAATTAGATATGAGGGTTGGTATTATTGTTGCCATCAACATGATCAACTTGCTTCTTCTACTTGAGCAGTGCATTAGTTTTTCTCCACCTATGGAATTTTCCAAACAAGACCTCCATATCCTCAAGGGTTCTACCCTATGTTTCCAAGAGCATTGGACAAAAGAAGACCCAGCCAAATGCTGCAATTCTCGAGGAAAAAAGAAAAAGAAAAAAGGAAGGCCCTAACGATTGTGATGCCCTTATACAGCAAAATAAAAGTCATTGAGAGGACTCCCACTGACCTGCCCACTTCTATACGACAACGGGTAGATCTCACAGTTGTAGACCCACGTGATGTACCCCATCTCGATTTAGAAGAATACGAAGTACGCTAATGCCATGGTCAAACACAAAACAATGACACACATGATCTTCTCGTCGAGAGATGCGAGAGAAACTATCATGTTAGCCACGCTAGTTAGAAGCTACTGACACTATCAGATCTAATCGAGCATAAACATGGAGATGAAGATGAAAATGGTCCTGACGAATCCTACGACTATGGTGCAGAGTAGCTTTTTGTCTGAGTTGGTGATCTCAACCTTCTCCAAGATAGTTGGGTTGTACAAAACAACGACGTCGACGCCCGAAGCTTGTTGAAAAAAGTGCAAACTAATGGTTAAGATTAAAATATGATGGACGACTAGCGTTGGATAAAAGGAAAAGTTTTTCCACACGACTTGGCCTTAGTTGTGCTTCTTGACCTTAATGACGTTGTCGTTCTAATGTTTGGGAATTCCAGTATTTGGCTGCGTCACTGAACCCACCATGCATGATGAGCCAACGAGGCAACTCAAGCATAACTAGGAAGTGTCAAATGGGACATGATGGGTCGGGCCGACCTATTTTGAGTTGTCTCATTAATACGAAACGAGCTAAACCTGTCTCATAAAGTTTGACACTGAGCCCATATGGGATAGGGTCGGGGTCATGCTGGACAACTAAATGGACCGATATGGACCCATGCCAAGCTAAACTTATTTATTGCATTTTTTTGTAGTATTTGTTTTACAATTTCATTTCAATCTTTTTACAATTATGTCTAACAAGATTTATTTTTTGTTGGAAAATTATGTATAACAAGATTTATTATTTGTTGGAAAAAGAGGTCAATGACTTTTTTTTTAATAGAAAAGGACTAGACTATTGTTCAGGTTTAAAAAAGGTACATTGCTAGGCCGGCCCAAAGATACGTGTTGCGTCATCTCAGGCCTTACTTAATCAGGCCGAATTCATACTGTGCTTAAGCCGACCCGATCTATTTGACACCTCTGCATGCAAGGGTAAGCATTATTTATATTTTTCGTATATCTAATTTAGGGCCATAATTATAAATTACAAAACTAAACAACAAAAATTTCTAATTCATGCACAAATCAAAGCATAAATAAACATATATTTTCTATTTATTTTTCCAACATTACCAAATATAAGAAAGATCTCATCTCTTCGGAAAAAAAAAAAAAAAAACATATGATTGGTCATCTTACCACGATAGGACTTATCGTCATCTTATCTTCTCTCATCACGGCTTCCCACTAGTGATTGGTTTTGTCTCTCCATTCTCCATTCGGGCTCATTGTAGTTGCTCATCGACTGGCCCCTTGACATTTCACTGGGTTTGGTCTGGTATCACTTGCGAACACGATCAGAATTAGGACTCTCTGCCCTCGTGTCTTCCTCGCGCCACCTACTTGTTGTTTTCATTGTCTTTGACTCTGGGTCTCTGTTGGTGCTTTCCTAAGCGTGCTAGCGGATTTTTTTGCTGTGGTTTTTTGGTTCAACTTGGCTTAGTGCTTTAAGTGGAAATTTTGGTCATTGCTATGTATGTGTTAAGCTGGAACGTGCGAGGGCTTGGCAACCATCGTACGTTCCTTAATAATAAAAACCTCTTACAAGACAAAACATCATATATTGTTTTCTTTATTGAGACTCATATGACTACTGTTCAGATGGGCAGCTTGGTCCGAAGACTTGGTGTGGGTGGAGTCCTTTGTGTTCCCCTTGAAGGGCTCTATGGTGGTCTCTGTATTCTTTGGAAGACTGGTATACAGGTTGTGTTGCTCTCATCTTGTCCGGGACATATTGATGCTCGGGTGACTTTTTCTAATTCCTTTGTTACTCGAATTACTGGGTTCTATGGTCATCCTGACCCTACTCGACGGATTCATTCTTGGAAGCTTCTTTGTCGTTTGAGTCAGGTGGATATTGGTCCATGGATGTGTTGTGGTGACTTTAATGAGATTCTGTTTATGGACGAAAAAAGTAGCCCTCATCTCCGCTCTATCTGTCAACTTGAAGATTTTCAATAGGTAATTGACGATTGTAAAATGCTATCATTTGATTTTGTGCGTTATCCTTTCACCTAGATGAACAATCGCAAAAATGACTACAATGTTCAAGCGCAATTAGACAAAGGCTTTGGTCATTTAGCCTTGCTTCAACAGTGGGGTAATTTTAGCATGTACCATCTTTCAGCGTATTCATATGATCATCAATTTTTCTCCTCGCTGACGCCCGACCTAATGTTGATGGTTGGAGTAGTCAGAGTCCACGTCATTTCCAGTTTGAGGAACAATGGACAACTGACGAAGACTGTGAAAGAATAATTCAATAAGGGTGGCATTGTCAGGAATCTCCGACGACTAATCATGTTATCTATGCTAAGCGTATCTTGTAGTGGAAAAGTCGAAAATTCAGTCATATGAACTCCAACACTCAGTCTCTGTGTACCTCTCTGGCTTCCTTTTAAACTATTGCCCCCTCTGAAGCCATTCTATATAGCAAGAAATTGGTTGCAAATGAGCTTGGCAAGTTATTGGAACTCGATGAACTTTATTAGTGCCAACGATCTCGTGTCAATTGGTTGCAAGCTAGTGATCATAACACTTCCTATTTTCATAAGATTGCTAATCACATAGCCAAAATTAATTCTATGGCACATGTTTTAGATGCTAATAAAGTATTACAGAGTGATCTCATGAAGATTGGTGTCATATTTCCCGATTATTATGATCATCTATTTTCTTACGCAGGCACAACTATGAGTAATGAAATTTTTGAGGCTATCACTACCTGAGTTTCTCAAATGACTCAACGGTATCTCTCTACTTTTCACTCTAGAGGAAGTGAAAATTGCTATCAAATCTATGAGGCCAACTAAAGCTTTTGGTCCTAATGGGATGCCAGCTTAATTCTATCAGCGTTACTGGAGTATTATTGGTTTAAATATCTATCAACTCTATTTAGAAATTCTTAATGGGAGTGGTGTGGTAGCTGATTTCAACCATACATTGATTGCCTTAATACCGGAAGTTCCATCTCCCTCCCGGGTTACTGAATTTTCTCCCATTAGTCTTTATAATGTTTTGTATAAAATTATTTCCAAAGCTCTTGCTAACAGATTGAAAAAAGCAATACTAGATGTCATATCAGAATATCAAAGTGCATTCATCCCTCATCGTATGATCTTGGATAACGTGTTCGCTGCTTTCGAAATGATTCATTATTTGAAGCAAAGAGGTAAATCAGGAAAAATAAAGG